TCCAGGGTGGTTACGGCTACGTCAAACTTTTCCTTAGTTGATTTTAAGTCTTCTTTAATGTCTTTCAGGCTTGATTCGATGTTCCCTCCCATTTTATTGAAGGACTCAGCGATTCCAGAAATAAGGTTTCTTATTTCAGTTGTAAATTCATCAAATTGCACCTTCATGTCTGGAATTTTTTTGTTTCTTCCACAGCTGAGGGGTTTAGGACTAGGAAATAGCGTGGAGCACTGATTAGCGGGCTTCCTGAGGTTTGCGGAGTTCGCGGGGTTACATCCTTGAGGTTTGCGAGTTTGTGTGGAATTTACTGATGGAGAGGGGCGAGGACAATTTTCCTCGTTCTCTGAGTCTTCGATACTTTATCTTTTGAATTTGTTTAAATGTATCTGTATGGGAGTATTCTATTCTATTCTATTCTTCACCTACTCACTGCTTGGGGGAGATTTTAATGGGACAGTGTTGGGTGGAGCCTCTTCACTTTTGGATTTGAGCCTCTTCGATGATCTGATAGGGGTCGGAGGAGGCTTTCGTTGAGTTGTGGCCTTCATCAAATGCTCGAAGATCAAGAGAGATACCAAAAGAGCTTGCGGCACCGAACTTGACACTTGAGATCGATACGACGGTAAAAATTGTCTATAAAACACTGTTTCATGAATTTCAAAAGTTTCACGCGAATAAACGGGACACAGAGGCGTAGCTCATTTAAGGGAGCACAGGTACGCGGCACTTGACTAGGGACGGCACTGCACTGACTTTAACCTCAAAACTGAAAAACGGAATCAAAACTCAGCAGTATTTTAATATCACTGAGTACACACGCGCGATGAGTTAATCAGGGTGTTAATTGGCGGTTTCCCTTTTATACTACACACAAGCTGCCGGTGAACGGGTGATAATACTGTGGAAAGAAACTAAAAAACAGCGGGAGTAAACACTCATGCAACCGACTCACTCAACAGGCCATGTGACCCCCTCTCTAAATCGGATAATTAGTTACAGAGATATTCAATTGTGTATGTAAGCTTAACTTCTTTAATATCTCAATACCGAGTCAACTTAGTGCAATAATTTTTTTTCGAAATGTTCGTCTTTTTGTCCTCTATCTTAATGAATCAAAATGTATATATCCGTTCATAGACATGGGTAAAAATCAGGGAAATCTTTTGAAACTTTGGCTTCCAGTTAGGATTATCAAGCAACAGTCCTCCATCAAATTTGAAGTCTATATATTTGATAGTTCTTGAGATGGAATTAATCACCTAAAATTCTTGAGAAAAAAAATTACGCATCTATATTTCATCGTTCATTTGCACATCAGGATAACTGAGAAAGCCATGTAATATGAATGTATGGTTTTTTCATATTCATTTTATAGAAATAGGGGAAAATGAGACAAAGCTTATAAGCATCTATAGATGATCGCCGCCGCACCCTACCCATGTGACCACTACTGTTTCTCATATTTATTAGGAGTATAACTTAATCTTTCCTTTTTTTTTTTATAAAAAAAAGTCACATTATGAGATACATAAATACCAGATCAATCCTCGAAATATCGTCCGTCGTTTTCGATGACCTTGCGACATCGATTGGACAACATACGAATGCCATGGCGAAAAAAACCTGCAGGCTTTGAGGCGATGAAGTCATCGACGATTTTTCGTACATCGTCTAGAGTTTGAAAGCGGCTTCCCTCCAAGGAGTGCTGCATGGACCGGAACAGATGGTAATCAGAAGGGGCCAGGTCTGGTGAATAAGCCGCGTGCGGGACAACCTTCCAGCCCTAGCTTAAAATTGTTTTCTGAGTCGCGCGAGCAACATGACGTCGAGCGTTATCATGGAGCAGCATGAGTTTCCGGCTCCCTTACCCAGTGAATGGCCTCTTCTCATCAAGTACCTCGCTCAATTTGTTTAATTGTCGACTGTAGCATTCTGCAGTAACTGTCTGATCCGCTTCCAAAAGTTCGTAATAGAGTACACCCTGCATATCTCACCAGATGCAGAGGAGAACCTTCTTCATGTGAATTTTTTGTTGGGAAGTGGATGTTGATAGTGGTCCGGGATCCACCCATGACTTTTTCCGTTTGTGATTACCAAAAAATATATATGTTTCATGTCTCGTCACAATTTTTGACAAAAAATCTTTCTTGCGGCACTTGGCAAGCAACGAAAGGCACATGTTCATGCATTGGCCGAGGTTATGTTCAGTCAGTTCATGTGGAATCCATCTTCCTACCTTTTGTATTTTTCCCATTGCGTGTAATCGTTTCGACACTGCTGCTTGAGTAACTCCTAGCTGAGCTCCAAGCTCTTTTTTGGTTTGCGTTGAGTCTTTGTCGAGTAATGCTTTCAATTCAGCATTTTCAAATTTCACAGGCTGTCCAGGGCGTTCCCGGTCACTGAGATCGAAACCACTATCTTTAAAGCGGCTTTACCAATATTTACACGTATCATAAGACACAATATTACTTCCGAGAGTAGAACAAATCGGTTGGTGGGCTTCAATGGCTTTTTTTCCTTGTTGGAACTCGTAAAAAATACAGTGCCTAATGTGCTGCATATCGGTCGCCATTGTATTCACTACTTTTTTGTGAAGTTATACAGCTTTTCCAGACATGACATATAGCGTATTAAAAACAGTAAGGTCCACTCTTCAAAATCGCCAACGGGCGCATAAATATTCAAATTTTGAATAAGACACTGCACGCGATGAACAAAAAAGGGAAAGATTAAGTTATACACCTAATATTTATTCTAATAATTTCTTCATTCTGACTAGATGATTCACAAATGGTGATAATGAAAAGGATGATTTTTCCATAGATAGATAGTAATAGCTAATGATATTTTGCATGAAGTATGAATGGGATTGGCCTTAATATTTTCAAAAAATGTTAATCCTTATGCCTTCATTTTTTGACAACATATATTAGAATCCATTCGGAAGCCTACTACCAATGAAATTGGTAGAAATCAAAATAGGAGAAAGAAATAAGTGGAAAATAGCAGTCATATGTAATTTGTCAAATGGCTTCTGTCGCGCTGCTCCTTTTATAAACCATCTACATTGATTATTAATAAACGTATTGTAAATTGGACATTTTGCAATAAAATTTTATATGAATCTATCTTTAGCAAAACTACAGCTCCCAGAGCTCATCTGTTCAAGATGAAACTTGCAGAACAAGAAGACTGCAGACTGTGCGAAGGCGATAAGGAGGGCGTCATCCACATTTTATGTGAATGCCCCCTATTAGCACTCCGTCGCTATAAAATCTGGGGCCAGCCTTATTGGCCTAGTGAGAAACACAGGGCTGGGGCTGTGTGACTGACCGAAACTAAGGCGGAAGTTACAAAAGATCGTATGATTTAGGTGACTCTGGGCGCTTTAAGTGACCAGCCGCACATTTTCTATTCTATTCTATCTTTAGCAATAAAAAGGGAATTGATATTTTTTTCGATACAACCAATATTTCTCTAGTTATGATGTCATAAACAATTCCTCACCCAGTGGCACTTCCGATTTTGCATTTTGTATAACTTTTGAAAAACATTTTGTTTTCTTTTTCGTCACGTTTTGGGATATCTTAGGAACCTTTCTACAACATACTCAATTTATATCAAAATTATAAAAACAAAAATTTTTCTATTGAAATAGCGTGGAATGCTTCTTATTCCAAAATAAAATCGAAAATATGAACCGAATCCAGGGATTAGCATGAGGTTGCATGAGGCTAAAGTCTTTAATATCTGCCTTGTCTATCTGGATTCAATTTAAAATTCAGAACTCAAATATGAAAGATTTCATAGCTTCCATTCGAAAGCACAAAATGCAATCTCATATTTTTCTTGAAAGAATCGTAAATTTTTGAAACCATTAATATTGTTTCATTTTTTTTACTGAATTTTGTAGAAGAAATGAAAAAAAAATGTTGAAACGATCTTGTTGACAATCTCATCAGGTTTAAGTATCGTAAAAATGCATCGATTGACCATAGAAAAAACTCACTTCAAAACCGCCAAAAAATGATTGCGAAGGTCATAAAATGTAGAAATATGATGAACTACCCACATCAAATGTTCGTCATTAAAATAACTTCTTGCCTTGGGAAGATTACTATTCCTTTGGCGCCGCTATTTGACATATGTTTTCTATATCATTTTTCCTCAGAAATACGGGAAAAATGAAGAAAAAATTCCCTCTGAATTAGTTTTTATAATATGAGCATTTCAATGCTTATTTGTTAAGATGCGAAAATTTTCATAAAGCTTCACGTACTTGAGACACTAATTTATACATTCACATTCCCACATCTGAATCCAATGATTATATTTACAAATTCAAAACAACAAAACTTAATTTTATTGAAAATTTTGTTGTTGGAGATTTTTTTGATTGAATTTTTTCAACTAAAAAAATTACAACAATCATAAAAATTCAGTCAACAAAATCTCCAACAACAAAATGTTCAATCAAAAAGGCATTCAACCAAGGCAGTATTACTCGTGTAACACGTGTAACCCTCGTGACCTTAGCGACTCCTTTTTTGTAACCATTATGACCGTCTCTTGTGACCTTATCTGAAGTTGGGAGAGCACCCGATGCCTAATCGGAAAGTCCCGGGTTCAAATCCTGGTCAGTACTATACAATTTTTCAGTAAATTTTTCTTGTAAACTAATATTGAGAATTTTTTTGTTTCCCCTTCTACCTACTCCAAACTCCTATCCAATAGTATGGTTTGACATCGTAAGATGTGGAGCGCTATATAAACTCTCGCCTTGTGTGAAAAATCTCCATAATTCTGGAAAAATAATGGAGATGGAATTTTTTCATTATTTTTTCCGAAACATGTTAAATCGGAGCGCCAAAGGAACCCTAATCATGCCCCTGTCTTCAAGTCGGGAAGTTAAAAATTAGTAGGTTGGATGTAATGACTCATTTGAGAGAAAAATATGGGAAGTTTTTTTAATGGAAAATTTATGAACTAAACAACAGGATTCTTGATATTTTCCGCTGAAATCAGTCATCAATAAAATCAAAATAAATTCCAAAATAAAATTTTCGAAATAAATTAGTGAGAATAAATTAACGATTGCGTCTCAAGTAGAATAGTGAATAGAATGACCAAAATTCGAGTTTATGAAAATGTGGTTTCATCGGAAATGGTACAACAATGACCGAAAGTTTTTTTTAAATATTGTGACACTCAATTTCATATTAATCAGCAGTAATGAATCACGTCAAGTTGACCCGACTTATGTGTTACGCATTGCAATCTGAATTTTCGTCAGATTTGTTCCGCATGATAAACTCAATACGTCTTTCTGCATCCGGTGGCACTCGATATGACACGCAATTACTCGGTACTGAGTGCTTCGATAGATTCTTCTCCTTATCGATCATTTGGACGACTTTCTGAATCGTGGAGACCTGCATCAATACTGTTGATTTCTGATTTGAACCTCGTGATGCTGATCTATGAGTTTTCTTGGTGCAGTCTTCGATGGATGTTAGTTTTCCGCAGCAGGTGGATTCCAACTGCTGGTGGGTATCTTTCCGGTCTGGTTGAGCCATTACTCTGAAAACAAATTGATTGAAATAAGTAATTAAGGAGGGAATGGACGTAACTAAACAAAGAAAATAAGAAATGTGTTTAATGGGTCAAAATAACAGGTTTCTGAGGTTAAACAAATTATTGTCAGTGCTAATACCCTAAGAGCTTCAAAATCATCGGGTATTTCCCGATCGCTTAGTTGCAAACAAAGGAGAGTGTCAAGTTTTGCAGGTTTTTCTGCAAAATTTTGCACGATCGTTTGTTTGTAGGGGAGCTTCACGGAAATACCCGATTAATTTTGAAACTCGAAGGATATTTATCGGATTATTTTTCCTAATCGAATGTTGGCCAATCAGAGTGCAGTGGACAGCATTAGGAGGTGAATTAGAGAAGATTTGAACAAATTATGTTAATAGAATAACCCAATTTCTGCAGACAGTCAAATACACGATTCGATCTGAAATGTGCCGAAAAAGTGAAGGGCAAATTATTCAAAGAAAAAAAATTAAGAGCTACTGCGAAAAATTCAAAAGCCAGGAGGAAATATCTTGAATAAAACTGTCGGGTAACCTCAAATACTACGCTCTGATTGGTCGAAATCCGATTGAGAGAAATAATTATGAATGTTTCTTTGAGAGCGTGGATCTTTAGAAAATGGAGACAGGGTGGAAGATGTTTGAGATAAGAATATATAATTTGTCAAATTGTTCAATGCAGTTAATTTATAAATCTTGTCGTGTCAAAATCACATCATAAAATTTTTCCGATGATTAATTTTAATATTGCTTTTTATTGAGATGACTGAACAGTCAACGAGGTGTTACAATAAAAGAATAGGATGAAATGAGAGCAAAAAATGGTAAGAAAAATTATCATGGTTTACCCAAAAGATTTTGTTTCTGATTCAACTGGTTTTGTGCCTGACTCCACTTTCAGTTTCTCCTCCTTCGATGTAGAGATGTTACCTTTCCTCTCAACTAACTTGGCTTCGAATTTCTGGAGACTCATTTTACTCCTAAGGATCTCACTTTTGAGTCTTTCCTTTAGTTTCTCTCTCCTCATCGATGAAGGTTTGGTAGTATCCATACAGCAATCATTCCTTCTATGTTGTAACCTGTAACGGATATTGAACACTGGGAAACTAATAAAACAATTACAATCGATATTCCGTACAAAAAACCTCATAGGAGGAATTTTCAGCTACAAGAATTTTTTTCCATTTTTTTCCAAGTGCAAAATTTGATTGATAAATCTCATTCACTTCATCATAATTATCTACACGGAGAAACATTCACAATCTACTTACTACGAAAATTGCTTCAACTAAGATTTCTGGTCATTTTTGGTAATATTTATGAAGATTTCTGGTAAAATTTCCGACAATTTTTGTGAAAATTTCATGTCAACTACCCAAGACAATTTTTAGTATCAGTATACCCCATTCTACCCAAATCCCCACTTATGTTTGTGCTTTCTACTACTGAGATCGAGCTTATTTTTCTGACACTAGAATTTTTCCAAAGAATTTCTCTGTGTAATTACTTCTGTAACATGATACGGTAACAGGAATTAGGCAAATTCATATTTTATAATCAATTTAATCATCTACAAAATATGTCTTCTCATCTACGAAATATGACTCAGTATTTTCCTTCATTACCCCCCACTCCCAAAAAATCCATAGCCATAAACGACGTCACTCTACCCTCGAACCATGCCAACACTTTCCAGTAAACAAAAAAATTGAATTACTCCTCTAGTCAAAAACTACAAACAGAAACACAGTGAACTCACCATAATGCGCACGTTGTAAGTGTCGTACTGAACATGAAAAAACAATTTAAAAATGTAAGCATCAACAGTGGCTCAAGCATTTTAAAATACCCAAAAATTTTGACATCACCTTTCCAACGAAAACATATAAACAAAAACTTGTAGCTTGAACCCCGTGAAATTGGCCCCAAAATGATGGTATGAAGGGATCAATTGATCGGAGGAAATGAGGCATTCTATTCTGTCTAATTTACGTGATTTTGCTTGCTTTCCCGCAAATGTCGGTCAGGAAGATATTTATCTTATATATGACAGGTATTCCGCAATGGCGAATGACATTTCGTGGAAACGTTCGTTGGGTGCATCCAACGTTAGCGAGGAGTAAGGCACTGCGGAACATTCATTGCTGAAGATTGAATCGAAACCCTAGACACTGCGGGATGTCCCTTTGCCCCTTGCGGATGCTAAAATTTAGGTGATACAATATACTATGATGATGGCAATAATAATAATTTCAAGAGCGTTGGACGGGGGGGGGGGGGGAAGGATATGTTGTCACATCTGTCAACGAAAATTGATAATATGCTTCTTCTGATGGGTCATGGCATTTTTGATGTGGTTTCGTAATGCTGGTGGTGCAAAAAAAAAAATTCTAAGAGAATTAGAATTTAGAGAGAAAAAAATTTCCGCTTCACCCAGCCGGGAATCGAACCCGGGTCTCCCAGATACGCGCCGAGTACTCTTACCGACTAAGCTACCAGGAACCACAGAAATTCACTCTCAAATTCACCTCAAACACCGCCTAACCTCCTTTAGGCATTAAAGAATTCTAAGAGAATTAGAATTTGGAGAGAAAAAAATTCTAAGAGCACAAAAAATAAATTCTTCTTCTGATGGGTCATGGCATTTTTGATGTGGTTTCGTAATGCTTGTGGTGCTTTGTGATGACGTTGGGATCTTCAGTGACGAGAGAATCTATCACCCCAGGGGCTAAATTTTACTCGACGCTGATTTATTGAGGTCTATTGTTGTTATCACCTTATTGTATTCAGTCGGGGGTTTTCACCAATTATTGGTACGATTTTGTGCCTTCATTCAGAAAAAAACCCTAGTTTGCTGTATCCTCGATACAGCCAAATGATGAAACGTGTACACGTCTAAGTGGTGACTCTTTCAACATAGCCTGTAAAGGATGTCATTGATTAGGATTTTGTTATAGCTATTACACAAGAAAAGAAATACTAATTAATTTTTTAACATGAATTTATTGAGTATGGACCGATGATAAGAAAAGTAGGATATATACGAAAAGAGATGAACATTTATATAACGGGTAAGCGTTAAATCTAAACATGTATTGCCTAATGTAGTAGATTGAGTTTGATAACACTGTAGATCGAATTCTATTTTCATAAAATTCATCAAAGTTCCATTTTGCATGATATTACAATTAAAGTCCCTGCACAAAATTATTGGTATTGTTCTGTCAGATTCGATTTTTGGGATGAATTTTTTAAGTGATTCAGAGTATCGAAGAAGTGATTGTAATTTTAAAAAATTATATCTCGTTCGTGGGTACTCCTGGATGGATATATATATTGCTGCTAGTACACATTGTATTTTATTGTTGAATAGCACTTTGATTGAAGTAAAATCTCCAATCGAACTTTCTTTAATATTAATGTAAAAAAAACTGGGCCAAGAAAAAGTTTTGTTTGATTCCTACTGGGAAATCGAAGTTTTTGAAAAATACATAGAAATAAAAAAGGAAGCCAAGTTAGGAATTTTGAATAAATGGTGAAAGTGCCCATTCAGGTTTCTATAAGAAAAATAGTTCTTAATAGAATAAGTATTCTAAAAAAAAATCCTCCATGAAATAAAAAATCAGTAGGAGTAGGACCAACGTTCTTGGCGCGGATCAAAGGATGGAGGAATAGATCGAGATACACGGGAGCGTATCGGGCCAAGTCCACGAAATCACCAAGAGCGACCAAGTATCTATACACCACACAACTTCCCCCTCCACAACCACCAATCTATTTTTTTTTAATAATCAATTCACGCGATCATTTAGATAAAAACTGGCCTTAGTTACATTATATAAATCGCATATCAGCTTTCCACTGATGCAATTATCGGTTGAATTAGTTGAATATTAACAAAGATAGCCACATAGCAACGAGCTATTATGCACATTTTTCGGGTTTCGATTATTATCCATCTGTCTAGGGCATACATTTCTCTTATGAAGTTGGTAATTCTCACTAGATCTTACCTCACTATATCCTCAACTATCTGTAACTAGATCTCAGGTAGTAGGGGTTGACCTCCAGGTACTTAGCCGACATAGGGCACTAATTAAAAAAACGACCTTATGTACTCGATTGTACGTCGTTAGGACATGATTGTACAGTGAAAATATTTGTTTGTACATTCACCAATTAATTTTTAAAAATTAATCAAATTTTGACATGATGCTGGCCGACAAAAATTGTAAATTGTTCGATCAACCCCAATTAAGGGTCCAATCGAAAGGAAATCGTTTGGAGATTCTAAATTTAATGACCCCATCGTTTGTAGAATCATTTATAATTAAAAATTATACTGAAATGTTCAATTACCATTTATCCTTATTTCCATAGGATACGGACAGTCTCTGCATTACCGACATTAGTATTCAAAAAGTGTTTGTATGTGTGTTTACAATATTTTTATACAAAAGTTTCTCATGTTAAATAACATTGAAGGGAATTATATCAATTTATATTGGAAGTTAATCATTTCATTTGTGCCCTTCTAGCCATTGGAAATATGTTCAAACGTAGTGTTACATTGTCAAGTATTATCATATCAGCCTAATTTAGGTTATAATCAGGTAAGAATTGTTGAAAAGTTTTTTATCAAACATTTTTATTAACAAGTTTTGATTTTTTTTTCGAACTTCCGCCGCGAAAACTAGTCATGAAAATGGCGATCGTACCGGTGCCTGATAATTAGCACCACATAATTAAAAAAATATTTTGTTTTCCATTTAGGACAATAGCAGGATCATCATAAAACATTGTAGTAGTATTTAAAATGTTTGTAGGTCCTCCATTGATTTGTTACTAATTAATTAAAATAATGAGCAAAAGTTAGCTCCCCACTTTCCTAATTTTCATTTGTAGACCCAAATTGACCTTGTCAACCGTTAGTAAATCGTTTGTAGGTAATAAATAATCTTGAATAATCTGTGTAGATCTAATTGTTGGTTAAAAATTAATTAATTATAATAAAAATTCACATAAATTAAAATTTATCATTCGATTAATTGATGAAGGTAATTAGGTACACTGAACAATCAAGTTTTTTTAGGGTGAAATGATTATATCGGTAAATTTGCCCTGCCCTGCATAACAACATTACGAAGGGTGTAACAATTTGCTATCTTGGGAATAATTATTTCACCCTAAAAAGAATTAATAGGGTCCCCAGACGATCGCCATTTTCACTAGTTTGCGCGGTGCATATTTGAATATTATAAATTACGATTTGATGAGATTCATTGAATTATCTTATCTAATTAGTGAAGAAGACGGTCTTTCAGTAATTTAGAACCTTATTCCAGTCGGCTTGCAAATATCAATACACAAATCATCCTTTTCTGAATTTGAAAAAAATAATTGAAATCTTCCAAAAAACAAAAAAAAATATATTTTTTTGAAAAAAACCGCCAAGT